CCTGAAATCAATAAAATTTAGTGATTGGATGAAATTTAAACAGTAAATCCATGCCAGAATACAAATATTAAAGTGATAACCTACTGATGACCTTCCTCACCTCTCTTTTAGAATGCAAGCACTGAACATCCCACCTACAGGAATCAGGTCCAATTAACCTATCTCCCCGAATCCCTTCATGTTAGCTTGGCCTGTATATCTTGTACATGTACTTGTAGAAATAAAGAGGATTATTATTATTATTATTATTATTCTTTCTTTCAACACACCAACCGTATCCCACCGAGGCAGGGTGGCCCAAAAGGAAAAATGAAAGTTTCTCCTTTTACATTTAGTAATATATACAGAAGAGGTTACTAGCCCCTTGCTCCTGGCATTTTAGTTGCCTCTTACAACACTCATGGCTTACAGGGGAAGAATTATGTTCCACTTCCCCATGCAGGTAATAGGAAATAAACAAGAATAAGAAAGAAAAAAGAAGAAAACCCAGAGGGGTGTGTATATATATGCTTGTACATGTATGTGTAGTGTGACCTAAGTGTAAGTAGAAGTAGCAAGACGTACCTGAAATCTTGCATGTGTATGAGACAGAAAAAAAAAGACACCAGCAATCCTACCATCGTGTAAAACAATTACAGGCTTCCGTTTCACATTCACTTGGCGGGACGGTAGTACCTCCCTGGGCGGTTGCTGTCTACCAACCTACTACCTAGGTATTATTATTATTATTATTCTTTCTTTCAACACACTGGCCATATCCCACAGAGGCGAGGTGGCCCAAAAGGAAAAAATGAAAGTTTCTCCTTTTACACCCAGTAATATATACAGAAGGGGTTACTAGCCCCTTGCTCCTGGCATTTTAGTCACCTCTTATGACACGAATGGCTTACGAAGGAAGAATTCTGTTCCACTTCCCCATGGAGATAAGAGGAAATTAGCAAGAACAAGAACAGAAAGAAAATAGAAGAAAGCCCAGAGGGGTATGTATATATATGCTTGTATAGGTATGTGTAGTGCGACCTAAGTGTAAGTAGAAGTAGCAAGACGTACCTGAAATCTTGCATGTTTATGAGACAGAAAAAAGGACACCAGCAATCCTTCTTTTCTTCTTTCAACAAACCGGCCGTATCCCACCGAGGCAGGGTGGCCCAAAAAGAAAAACAAAAGTTTCTCTTTTTAAATTTAGTAATTTATACAGGAGAATGGGTTACTAGCCCATTGCTCCCGGCATTTTAGTCGCCTCTTACAACATGCATGGCTTACGGAGGAAGAATTCTGTTCCACTTCCCCATGGAGATAAGAGGAAATAAACAAGAACTAGAAAGAAAATAGCAGAGAACCCAGAGGGGTGTGTGTATATATATGCTTGTACATTTATGTGTAGTGTGACCTAAGTGTAAGTAGAAGTAGCAAGACGTACCCGAAATCTTGCATGTTTATGACACAGAAAAAAGGACACCAGCAATCCTACCATCATGTAAAACAATTACAGACTGTCATTTTACACTCTCTTGGCAGGACGGTAGTACCTCCCTGGGTGGTTGCTGTCTACCAACCTACTACCTAGGTATTATTTTTTTTTTTTCAACAAACCGGCCGTATCCCACCAAGGCAGGGTGGCCCAAAAAGAAAAATGAAAGTTTCTCTTTTTAAATTTAGTAATTTATACGGGAGAAGGGGTTACTAGTCCCTTGCTCCCGGCATTTTAGTCGCTTCTTACAACACGCATGGCTTACGGAGGAAGAATTCTGTTCCACTTCCCCATGGAGATAAGAGGAAATAAACACGAACAAGAACTAGAAAGAAAACAGAAGAAAACCCAGAGGGGTGTGTATATATATGCTTGTACATGTATGTGTAGTGTGACCTAAGTGTAAGTAGAAGTAGCAAGACATACCTGAAATCTTGCATGTTTATGAGACAGAAAAAAAGGTTCACCAGCAATCGTACCATCATGTAAAACAATTACAGGCTGTCGTTTTACACTCCCTTGGCAGGATGGTAGTACCTCCCTGGGTGGTTGCTGTCTACCAACATACTACCTAGGTATTATTATTATTATTATTATTATTATTCATGCTCCAAGAGCATATCATACACAGAAACCACTTGTCTTTACTCACTCTGATGTAACATGCTCATAAAAGTCTGCTGTATGCTCAAGCTCCTAGGACTCAAAGATTCCTCTTTCTCCTTCAAACCTTTCCTAGAATGAACTCTACCCATACTTCTTTCCAGGACAGATTTGTACATCGTGTTGGTCATCCTATCTAAATGCTCAAACCAAATAACAACCCTCCCCTTAGCCTACTAATTATAACTCTGGCAACCCACACCATCTTCAAATTTCAACTCCAAATTCTCTGCCTAATATTCATACCACACACTGCCCTCAAACATGACTTTTATTATCAGTATTTTTTTTTTTTTTTAACAAGTCGGCCATCTCCCACAAAGCCAGGGTGACCCAAAAAGAAAGAAAATCCCCAAAAGGAAAATACTTTCATCATCATTCAACACTTTCACCTCACTCATACATAATCATTGTTTTTGCAGAGGTGCTCAGAACACAACAGTTTAGAAGCATATACGTATAAAGATATACAACACATCCCTCCAAACTGCTAATATCCCGAAACCCCTCCTTTACAGTGCAAGCATTGTACTTCCCATTTCCAGGACTCAAGTCCGGCTATATAAAAATAACCGGTTTCCCTGAATTTTTTTTTTTTTTTTTCAACACGTCGGCCGTCTCCCACCGAGGCAGGGTGACCCAAAAAAGAAAGAAAATCCCCAAAAAGAAAATACTTTCATCATCATTCAACACTTTCGCCACACTCACACATTATCACTGTTTTTGCAGAGGTGCTCAGAATACAACAGTTTAGAAGCATATACGTACGTATAAAGATACACAACATATCCCTCCAAACTGCACTAAATATTACCCTGCTCACACTCCAACAGATCATCAGGTCCCAAATACCATTCGTCTTCATTCACTCCTATCGAACACGCTCATGCACGCCTGCTGGAAGTCCAAGCCCCTCGCCCACAAAACCTCCCTTACCCCTTCCTTCCAACCATTTCGAGGACGACCCCTACCCCGCCTTCCTTCCCCTACAGATTTAAATGCTCTCCATGTCATTCTACTTTGATCCATTCTCTCTATATGACCAAACCACCTCAACAACCCCTCTTCAGCCTTCTGACTAATACTTTTATTAACTCCACACCTTCTCCTAATTTCCACACTCCAAATTTTCTGCATAATATTTACAGCACACATTGCCCTTAGACAGGACATCTCCACTGCCTCCAACCGCCTCCTCGCTGCTGCATTCACAACCCAAGCTTCACGCCCATATAAGAGTGTTGGTACTACTATACTTTAATACATTCCCTTCTTTGCCTCCATAGATAACGTTTTTTGTCTCCACATATACCTCAACGCACTACTCACCTTTTTTCCCCTCATCAATTCTGTGATTAACCTCATCCTTCATAAATCCATCCGCTGACACGTCAACTCCCAAGTATCTGAAAACATTCACTTCTTCCATACTCCTCCCAATTTGATATCCAATTTTTCTTTATCTAAATCATTTGATACCCTCATCACCTTACTCTTTTCTATGTTCACTTTCAACTTTCTACCTTTACACACACTCCCAAACTCATCCACTAACCCTTGCAATTTTTCTTTAGAATCTCCCATAAGCACAGCATCATCAGCAAAAAGTAACTGTGTCAATTCCCATTTTGTATTTGATTTCCCATAATTTAATCCCACCCCTCTCCCGAACACCCTAGCATTTACTTCTTTTACAACCCCATCTATAAATATATTAAACAACCATGGTGACATTACACATCCCTGTCTAAGACCTACTTTTACCGGGAAGTATTCTCCCTCTCTTCTACACACCCTAACCTGAGCCTCACTATCCTCACAAAAACTCTTTACACCATTTAGTAACTTACCACCTATTCCATATACAGTGGACCCTCAACCAGCGATATTAATCCGTTCCTGAGAGCTCATCGTTAGTCAAAATAATCGTTAGTCAAGTTAATTTTCCCTATAAGAAATAATGGAAATCAAATTAATCCATGCAAGACACCCAAAAGTATTGAAAAAAAAAAATTTTTTTACCACATGAAATATTAATTTTAATACACACAAACTGAAGATTACATGCACAGTTACATGACACTTACCTTTATTGAAGATCTGGTGATGATTGATGGGATGGGAGGAGGGGAGAGCGTTATCTTCTTACTGTTTAGAAGGGGAATCCCCTTCCATTAGCACTTGAGGCAGCAAGTCTTTTTCTGGGGTTACTTCCCTTGTTCTTTTAATGCCACTAGGACCAGCTTGAGAGTCACTGGACTTCTGTCGCACAACATATCTGTCCATAGAGGCCTGTACCTCTTGTTTCCTTTATGACTTTCCTAAAGTGGTTCACAACATTGTCAGTGTACAGGTTGCCAACACGGCTTGCAGTAGCTGTGTCAGGGTGATTATCATCCATAAAGCTTTGCACTTTAAGCCACATTGCACAGATTTCCTTAATCTTAGAAGTAGGCAACTTCTTCAATTTCTCTCTCCCCTCCTCTGAAGCAGTTTCCTCAGGTCTGCCCTCTTGCTGTTCAAGATGATCTAGCAGCTCATCAGTGGTTAGTTCTTCACTGTCCTCCACCACCAACTCTTCCACATCCTCCCCACTAACCTCCAACCCCAAGGACTTCCCCAATGCCACAATGGATTCCTCAACTGGCATAATCCTCTCAGGGTTAGCCTCAAACCCTTCAAAATCCCTTTTGTCTACACATTCTGGCCACAGTTTTTTCCAAGCAGAGTTCAATGTCCTCTTAGTCACTTCCTCCCAAGCCTTACCTATAATGTTTACACAACTGAGGATGGTAAAATGATCTTTCCAAAGCTCTCTTAGAGTCAGTTGAGTTTCTGAGGTCACTACAAAGCACCTTTCAAACATAGCTTTTGTGTACAGTTTCTTGAAGTTGGAAATAACCTGCTGGTCCATGGGCTGCAGGAGAGGAGTGGTATTAGGAGGCAAAAACTTCACCTTAATGAAGCTCTGTCCCTAGAAAGTTGCTCTGCCACATCTGTAGGATGACCAGGGATATTGTCTAATACCAGGAGGCACTTAAGGTCTAATTTCTTTTCAATTAGGTAATTTTTCACATCGGGGGCAAATGCATGGTGTAACCAGTCATAGAAAAAGTCCCTAGTGACCCATGCCTTACTGTTTGCCCTCCACAGCACACACAAATTAGCCTTGAGGACATTGTTTTTCCTGAACACTCTGGGGGTTTCAGAGTGATACACCAATAAAGGCTTCACTTTGCAATCACCACTAGCATTGGCACACATCAACAAAGTAAGCCTGTCTTTCATAGGCTTATGTCCTGGAAGTGCCTTTTCCTCCTGAGTAATGTACGTCCTGCTTGGCATTTTCTTCCAAAACAGGCCTGTTTCGTCACAATTAAACACTTGTTCAGGTTTCAGTCCTTCACTGTCTATGTACTCCTTGAAGTCCTGCACATATTTTTCAGCCGCTTTGTGGTCCGAACTGGCAGCCTCACCATGCCTTATCACACTATGAATGCCACTACGCTTCTTAAATCTCTCAAACCAATCTTTGCTGGCCTTAAATTCACTCACATCACTAGTTGCTGGCATTTTTTTAATTAAATCGTCATGCAACTTCCTAGCCTTTTCACATATGATCGCTTGAGAGATGCTGTCTCCTGCTATCTGTTTCTCGTTTATCCACACCAATAAAAGTCTCTCAACATCTTCTATCACTTGCGAACTCAGTTTCGAAAACATAGTTGCACCTTTGGCAAGAACAGCTTCCTTGATTGCCGTTTTCTTGCCCACAATAGCAGCAATAGTTGATTGGGGTTTATTATACAACCTGACCAGCTCAGAGATACGCACTCCACTTTCATATTTATCAATGATCTCTTTCTTCATCTCCATAGTAATTCTCACCTTTTTTGCTGTAGGGTTGGCACTAGAAGCTTTCTTGGGGCCCATGGTGACTTATTTTGCAGGTGCAATCACTAAAATGGCTGTGATAATATGAAATGTTCCAGTTGTATGTTCGGAAGTGACCGCGGTGGCTGGCTGGCTTGTAAACACTGGCACCAAAGGGACAAGTGAGGCGCGCTCAGGCCAAAGTGGACGCGTATGGTACAGAACGAAAAGTGCTGGTCGGGTTTTTAAGCGCTAGTCGAGGCAAAATTTTTGCGTTTAAATGAATCGCTAGTCAGATTTATCGTTAATCGATGCCATCGCTGGTTGAGGGTCCACTGTACTTGCAACATATGCCACATTGCTCCTCTATCCACTCTATCATATGCCTTTTCTAAATCCATAAATGCAATAAAAACTTCCCAACCTTTATCTAAATACTCTTCACATATTTGCTTCAATGTAAATACTTGATCTACACATCCCCTACCCACTCTGAAACCTGCTTGCTCATCAGCAATCCTACATTCTGTCTTACCTCTAATTCTTTCAGTTATAACCCTACCGTACACTTTTTCTGGTATACTCAGTAAGCTAATTCCTCTATAATTTTTACAATCTCTTTTGTCCCCCTTCCCTTTATATAAAGGGACTATACATGCTCTCTGCCAATTCCTAGGTACCTTCCCCTCTTTCATACATTTATTATTATTGCTATTATTATTATTACTGCTGTTATTACTGTAAATAATCCTCTCCTACATACCTTAACCTGCCTTGGTGAGATATGGCCAGTGTGTTGAAGAGAGATGAAAGTGAACATAGATAAGAGTAAGTTGATGAGGGTATCAAACAACTGAAAGGAAAAATTGGATATCAGATTGGACAGAGGGAGTATGGAAGAAGTGAATGTGCTCAGATATTTGGGAGTAGACTTGATGGCAGATGGGTTTATGAAGGATGAAGTAAACCACAGAACTGATGAAGAAACAGGTGGGTGGTGCACTGAGGCATCTGTGGAAACAAAAAACATTATCCATGGAGGCAAAGAAGAGAATGTATGAGGGTACAATGGTACCAACACTCTTATATGGGTGTGAAGCATGGGTTGTAAATGTTACAGCAAGGAGGAGGCTGGAGGCAGTGGAGGTGTTGTGTTAAAGGCAATGTATGGCATAAATATTATGCAAAGAAGTCACAGTGTGAAAATTAGGAGGAGGCATGGAGTTACTAAAAGTATTATTCTGAGGGCTGAGGTGGTTTGGTCATTTAGAGAGGATGGAGCAAAATAGGATGACATGGAGGGTGTATAAATCTGTAGTGGAGGGAAGGAGGATTAGGGGTCATCTTAGGAAAGGATGGAGGGGGAGGGTAAAAGAAGTTCTGTGTGCATGGGGCTTGGACATACAGCAGGCACATGTTAGTGTGTTAGATAGGAGTGGAGACTAATGGTTTTTGGGACTTGACAAGGTGTTGGAGTGTGAGCAGGGTAATATTTTGTGAAGTAATTCAAGGAAACTGGTTAGCCAGACTTAAGTCCTGGAGATGAGAGTGCTGGAGATGGGAGGTACAATGCCTGCACTCTGAGGGAGGGGTCTGAGATATGTATTTGCTGTTTGGGGTGACATCTGAACTGTTTTATGTGCACGCCTCTGCAAAGACAGATATAATGTGAATGATGGTGAAAGTTTTTTTTTTTTTTTTTTTTTTTGGGGGGGGGGGGAGGTGCCCTGCTTCGGTGGGAGATGGCCAGCATGTTAAAAAAAAATATCTTTCAAGTTATGAAGCAAAAGGGTTTCTGTATTTTAATAATAAAAATCATCTTACCAGTGATAAACTCTCTCCTGTGTGATTTAGAGTAACCTGTGTGCTGCTGCCGTCTCGCCGCATGTACGACAGGCTTCCCTTACGAACTCGCTCGCTAGGCTAGAGAAAAGGTAAAAAACAAAAAAAAATTTGAATTGTGTCTGAAGAATTATTTACTTCTAAAGATAATGATTTTATTCCATAATATGGAACATTTACACATTTATATAAACATAAAATTATATCATAATACACTTAAAGAATTGTATAAACACACTATATAATTTCAAAATTGTTACTACAACTATAATGCTTTTACCCAGGACCCATATATATATAACTAGCAACTGTCAACTGAAGGATTTCGCTGACTCTGCCCATCTCTGCTTGATCAGAAATCTTATGGTTAATCCCCCTCCTCCCTTCCTTTCACATTTTGAGGATGACTAAAATATAAAGATAACCTTAGCTATTTTTTTTCATACATTTCAAAGTAATGAAATAAAAATGGTCACACAGTAGCATGACCATTTCTGTAGTATTGAAGAAAAGGGTGTCTTTTAGAGAAAAAAAAAATTGAAATTTGAAGAAAATGGTACAAAACACTGTACAGTGGAACCTCAAAAATCGAACGTATCACATATTGAACGTTTCGAAAATAAGACCATTTTTTCGGACAAACTGTGTCCCTATTATCAAACGCGCCCCTATTTCCGGACCGCCGGGTACGGGACCTGTCCGCTGGCCTGCTCTGTCCGCGTCCCCGCGCAGGCGCCGTGAGCAGTCTAGCTTTGTTTATGCTTAAGTGAACACTAACCTGCAATCTCATTCACACATTTTACGATTATTTGTGTTTAGTGCTTGTGGAGCTGTGAAATAAGCTGCCATGGGCCCAAAGAAACTTGCAAGCGGTACCCCTGTGGTAAAAAAAGTGAGAAACACCATAGATGTGAAGAAGGAAATAATACAGAAGTATGAGATTGGAGTGAGACTTGTTGAGCTTGCCAGGATGTACAGAGGACTGTGGACAGTTATTTTGTGAGACAGAAACAGACGACTGTGGACAGTTATTTTGTGAGACAGAAACAGACGACTGTGGACAGTTATTTTGTGAGACAGAAACAGACAACTGTGGAGTTATTTTGTGAGACAAACAGACGATTGTGGACAGTTATTTTGCGAGACAAACAGACGACTGTGGACAGTTATTTTGTGAGACAAACAGATGACTGTGGAGCTATTTTGTGAGACAAACAGACGATTGTGGACAGTTATTTTGTGAGACAGAAACAGACGACTGTGGATAGTTATTTTGTGAGACAGAAGCAGAGAACTGTAGACAGTTATTTTGTGAGACTGGGGCCCAATGACTCTCAAGCTGGTTCTAGTGGCATTAAAATACAGAGAAGGGAAGCAACCCCAGAGAGGGCTTTGATACCGGAAGTCCTCATGGAGGGGGATTCTCCTTCCAAACAATAACCCCAACTCCCTCTCTCCTCCTCCCTATCCTCCAGATGCCATCACCAATCTTCAGTAAAGGTAAGTAAAAATGTTATTTTATATTACTATACATAATTAAAGACTATATGTATTTTTTTTGTGAATATTTTTGGGTTTCTGGAATGGATTAATTGTATTTCCATTATTTCTTATGGGAAACATTGCTTCGAATTTCAGACTTTTCGAATTTAGAACTAGCTCCTGGAACGGATTAAGTTCGAAATTTGAGGTTCCACTGTACAATAAAGGCACACTTTGCCAAGTGTCCTTATTATACCCAAATTATACTTTATTTCCCAGAGTATTTGTGTCATAACTGTGTCTAACTTGACCTATGGTCTTCAAATCATGATGTGAAGTAGTTTGTTCTTTCCTTACAGCTTTTGCCTTCCAACTCTGGTTTTTGCATTTCATTATGTACAGCATTTAGACAAGTTCTGTGTACTCAAAGATTGATAATTTATTTTACAATGTTCTGAATAATTACGAGTCTAGCGTATGTCACAGATGTTAAATCATTGGTGTCTGCTTTGGGAAGCCATTTGGTCATTTTCTTGATCCAATTCCATAAAATAATCCCCATCCAATAGGTACAAGGATTCCAGCCTCTTACCATAAGGTTTTCTTTCATCCAGGTGGTAGAATAACTCCAGCATATCAAGTCCAGCTCATTAGCCGTCACCTTGCATGCTGGTACTGATCTCAAGATACCATTAGCCTGACCATTCCTGAAGCCTTTTCATGACTTCCTGCAGTTTCAGTCAATCATGAACTATTATTTTTTTTTTTCAATACACTTGCTGTCTCCCACCGAGGCAGGGTGACCCAAAAAGGAATGAAACACTTTCATTGTCATTGAACACTTTCACCATCATTCACACATAATCACTGTCTTTGCAGATGCACACACATATGACAGTTCAGATGTCACTCCAAACAGCAAATATCCCAAGCCCCTCCTTCAAAGTGCAAGCACTGTACTTCTCACTACCAACTTCTACCTTTGTACAGTGTGGTAGTGATATTTCTCCACAAAACTTTGCAACTCATTCCACTTTCATACTTTGCTACAAGTTCTTCTTGAATTCTATTGTGTTTCTCGCCTTCTTTATCAAAGGGCTGGCATTCGGAACTTTCTTTGGCCCCCAAGGTGGCTTATTTAGCAGGCGCATTCAATAACCAAGCACAAAGAACAATGGATTATTACAAAATGCGTGCGTGGGATACTTTGTGTGGGCAAGGGCAGATGGACATGTTCTGCATGGCAGACGAAAACTGGGACAATATTTTGACGAAAAAAGTCGTCAAAACCCGAATTCGACAAAAACCAGGGGAAACGAAAACCGAGGTTCCACTGTACTACACATCTGACCCACAAATAAACATTAGTCTCAAAAAGTTCCAAGGATTTCACAATGTTCCATGCATGTGTCACACTTCTTCAGATTACAAGCACAATATACGGAAGTTCAAGTGAACCCCCATGTTCTCAACCTTGAGTTCAACACGCTCAAAAAGAAATAACTTACTGTCCTAACTTTGCGGCCACGTTTGTGAGTGAGGAGCTCCTGTACCATGCCCTGGAGACACATGGACATGAGAACAGCTTGGGAACTGGTGATTGTCACCCAGCGCATATCCTCACGGCTCATCAAGTACTCAAAAGAGAGTTCCAAGTTAACATGACGACCCCCTTCAAGGCTGCTGCAGCTGCTTCTACTACTGCTGCTGTTGCTGCTGCTAGTGCTGCTGGTACTGCTACTGCTGTTGCCAGTAGAGCTATTACTGCTACTGCTATTTGAGCCCTCTACTGGCTGGTGGTGGAGAGAAACAGTTTAAGTCATACTCTGTATCCATGATATGATGCTTAAATAAAACAAAACTCCTGGAGAGCATAATGTTGCCACAATAAAATGTTGCATTGGTTGCACATGTGTCCTTTTACTAACATATAATATTTTTGTATTGTGACAAGCTCTAAAATTAAAGAAATGGGACTTTGTTAAGGTATCACTTCTCGAAAAGATGGAAACTAAGTAACTGTTAGTAAATATGTTTTTTTGGGGGGGATCACTGACCCTGATGGAAGATGGCAGTTGAGTTTAAAAAAAAAATAATAAAAATAATAATTTTGTAAGTATGAGCCTATTGGCAAATGGATTTTTGAAAGACAAGATGAACCAGACAAAAGAAGATGGGAGGGGGGAGGTGGGTTGTAGTTTGTAGCATCTGTGGAGACAAATAACTTTATCCATGGAAGCTTGAAGGGAAATGTACCACAGTATAATGACACTAACACCATCATAAGGGTGAGAAACATGAGTTTTAAGCACAGCAGCAAGGAGAGGCTTGAAGCAGTAAAGATGTGTTTGAGGGCAATGTGGTTTATGAATATTATGCAGAGAATTCTGAGCATGGAAACTGGAAGGAGGCTACCAAAATTATAATTCAAGAGAGGTGAAGCAATTTGGGTACTTAAAAGATAGAATTATTTTGGAGGGAAAATAAATCTGGAATGGAGAGAAGGAGAAATAGGGGTCATCCCAGGAAGGGTTAGAGGGAGATGGGAAAGGAGGATTCAAGTACTAGGGGCTTGAACATCCAACAGGCTTGTTTAAGCATGTCAGATCAAGAGTGAGTGGAGGCAAGTGATTTTTGTGACCTGACGTGCTGTTGGAGTGTAATCAAGTAAATACTTATGAAGAGGGTTAACCCCTTCAGGATCCAAGGCCCAAATCTGAAGTGGTGCCCCAGTGTCCAAGAATTTAAAAAAAAAAAATTGCTATTTTTTCTTATGAAATGGTAGAGAATCTTTTTGTGAAGGTAATAAAACAAAAAGTACGAAATTTGATGGAAAATTGGCAAAATTATGCTCTCGCGAATTTTGATATGTCAGCGATATTTACGAATTGGCGATTTTGCCGACTTTGACTCCCATTTTAGGCCAATTACATTATTCCAGTCAACCAAATTCTTAGCTATTTCACTAGTATTACTTCTATTCTATCGATTGAGCACAAGAAATCACAAAGTCAACTGTTTCAATTACAAATTAAAGTGATTGGAAATTGTTAATTTGGCCAATTTAACACAAAGTTCAAAATATTCCAATTTCAAAATAGGGTCCAGAATAAGCAATGTAGGTATTCCTGGAACTGAACTAACATTTCCTCTGTTCATTAGTTACGTTTTGAGGCTTTACAAATAAATTCCATTTTAATTTTTTATTCACATAATGAATTTTTATTCACACCAAAAAATAGAAGATTTACTGTTATGCAATACCGTAATAATTGTATAAATATCATCACCATATTTGTGAATGCATATTAGACCCACCAGCTGGCGTGTATTAGACGTGTGAGGTCGTTTGTTTACTTTTGAATATCGGCAAAAATTTAACATTTCTGCTACTTTGAGCTCAGTTTCAAGCCATTTTCAGTGCTAAAACCAATCAAAATCATCTCTATTTCTGTAATATGTCTTCCATTCTATCAAATGAGACCAAGAAATCGCAAATACAAATATAAAAAAACATACGAAAAAACACTGCAAAGTCGCTGTTTTAATCGAAAAATCATGATTTCAGTTTTTTTTCTCTCATTATACACAGTGTGCTGCAGGATCTGTTTTACGTGGTGCACACATACCACATAGATGTATTCTGTCATATCTAGGCCCAAATGTACCACTCACAGTTTATCAGAGTGAGCTGAGCTCATGACGTAGATCTACGGTTTGGACCCTGAACGTAAAGCCGTAGATCTACGGGACGGACCCTGAAAGGATTAAGGAAAACCGGTAACCAGACCTGAATTCTGGAGGAGGGAAGTAGTGTCTACACCCTGAAGGAGGGGTGAGGATGTTGCAGTTAGGAAGGCCACTTGAACTGTGATGTGAGCATATATTTCAGGAAAGACAGAGATTGAAAATGAGGGTAAGTATGTATGGGAGTCACCCCTATCACTGTGGGAGACAGTTTATGTATTAAAAAAAATAACAACAAACTAATACTTTGTATTGGACTGATGAAGCCACTGTGTGGTGAAACATTTTTTCAATAAAGATTCCCATATGATGCATAAGTGTCTCAATCTTCAACTTGTTGGTTTTCAAAACCATTTATCACACTCAAAATATATTATATGCACTTACATCATGGATAATGTGCTCACCTGCTGCACTGTTATTCTCCAACATCTCATCCGAGTCACCTTGAAGTTGCCCTCCTTCACCGACCCATCCTCACACTCAATTCTTAAAAGAGAATTTTTTTTTTTAAACTTATGAATGAGTAGCATTACTAGTGCTCCAATTGACAAATGAAATGCTCATAACACAGAGTCTGTGTTCCTATAGAAAACAAAAGTACTGTATACAGGAAAATTCCTAACTGCAGATTGCCAGGTGTAAAAACTGAACTGGTTCCCCAAGTGTTTTGTTCACAAGTACAAATGTGTGTAACCTTGGGGCGTGCAAGTAAGGAAAAAAAAAAAACTCTCCATACTTGCAATAGAAAGACTTTTACTGCATGTAACTCAGTGAAAGCTTGGAGAAACCTACTGAATATAACTGCCAACTGTGTACAAAATTATACAAAGTTTTTTTTTTTTTTAAATACAAAGTTATAATATGAAAATAATCCAAATTCTAACAAACATGCATCCACATACCAAAACCTAAATGTACAGTGCTATACTATCTTGTCAGTCCTCAGAGTTCTCCATTTTAGCAGTGGTGCAGAATGAAAGACGAGGGTGGTAATAATGTTTTGATGCTGTTGGATCAGTAAGTTTTTATTTCAGCAACTAAACAATCATAGAAGCTTGTTTCTGTAGAAGCTGAGATACTTAAAATTGTTAGTGAAGGCCTATGAAGCATGATCATTATTATAAGTTCTATTAAAAACTATGCAAGATTTCAACAACTCAATTTGAGGAGGGATTATGTACTCTGACTAGGTAACAGAAGAAGGTAAATCCAGCTCTGTACTGCCCTCATTTAGCTGAATATTTACAAATTTGTTAGGGTGTTTCAGTTCATTTGCCAGGAACAGTCCTGACATGGGGCTTTTCCAAATGGTGACCTGTCACTGGCTCCTGAAGGAGTATTGACATTTTGTTAAGTGGGGTACCATTTACAACCCAGTGGCAAGAACCAGCCCAATAGTAGGGACCCCAGTACATCTTTGGTGCAGGTGAGATATTGTTTACAGCTGTATGGGGAAGGCCTGGCATTTCAATTAGATTTTTTAAACAAATCAGGTGTTGCATATCCCTGTACAGAACAGTATGTAAAAAACAAATTTCACTTAGTTTTCTTATACAAACTTCTGTATACATAAAGTTAAACTTTGTAATGTATCAATAAAGGAAAATTAGTTTCAGATATGTAACAAAAGATTATCAGTAAGTGATAATATGCAACACCAGTAATACATGCAACTTGTAAAAATGTACTGTGATATAATAAACAATACCATTTCACAAACTATTGGGTAAAAAATGAATTATTTTTAAGTTTATTTAAATAAATTTTTCATGCTGTATTTATTCAGTTTACTAGGCCTGTATCACCATTTTCACTTACATTTTTCAACAATAAAACAAACAAGTTTTGCATTTTACATACATTTTACAAGTGTTGAAAGTTCTTGATTTAAGGGACTAACAGGGAAGAGTGAGTGAATAGTAATGGTAACAATGATGCGTCGAGATTAGATTATTATATGCTCTGATCGTGACAATAATAGACAATTCTGTAACTTAAGGATTTTGTCTATTATTTCCAAATCAATTGATCTAGTGGATATTGTCACACATACTACAAATCCTCTAAATTCAGGTCCATTAAATCAAGTTTTTTTTTTCCAACACACTGGCCATATCCCACCAAGGCAGGGAGACCTAAACAGAAAAAATGAAAGTTTTTCTTTTCAAATTTAGTACTGTAATTTATACAGAAGAGGTTACTAGCCCCTTGCTCCCGGCATTTCAGTCACCTCTTATGACACGCATGACTTATGGAGGAAGAATTCATTTCCACTTCCCCATGGAGAGGGTTTATTTGTAACCAAATAATAAGAAACTTTTGGAAAAGTAAGGTGAAAACCAATTTTCTGCTATGAGAGATCCAAAAACCTAGAATAGTGTGCACATTTCCATGTCACAATATGACAAAGTAGAGAAGCAGTGTTGATAATTACTTTGCATCAAATTCACATTCCATCACTGATCCCTAAGTAGGACATATAAAATAAAACTACATTCAATCAGAGCTCTTGGAAATAATTTGATTCTTCAAAGAGATGCTATAAATAGTTCACTCGCATTCAGTAATTAACCATTTTTTTTCAGTTACTACCCTGCAAGAATGCAATTTTCAGCCTCAATGATCTATTAGGCTTTGAGAAATATCAGTGATTATTATTATTACTATTTTTTGAACACAAAGCTATCTCCCACAGAGCCAGGGTGACCGGAAAAAATAAACAAAAGTAAAAAGAAGAAACGAAAGTTTTCTACAGCAGATGTCTACACTATCCTCTGTGGGTTCTGTCCCAAGAAATATGTAGGCGAGACAGGCAGAGATCTTGCAGTCCACCTGAATGAGCATCGAAATGCCACTAACAGAGACGATGTAAGGTATGCCTGTGTCCTCCACAGAGACTCCACGGGGCATTTGATGAACTGGAATGAGGCACAACTCGTTCTCACCGAACCAGACCTCAGACGCCGACGGTGCCTAGAAGCCTCACTAATCGCCGTTACCGACACTATAGAACACAACACCGGAAACTACAAAATTTCAAAAACATTGGCATACATGATACTTAAGCACCACCAACCCAACAACACAGGAGTCACATGATTTCATTGTCTACCCGTCCTCATCACAACATGACATTCCTCAGGTCACGTGCGTCACTCACACCTCACTCTCCGCCTATATACAGTGGACCCTCACATAATGATATTAACTGGTACCCGAGAACGAATATCGTTAAGCGAGTTTTTTAACGTTATCCGAAGGAAAATGTTAGCATTAAAAGTATCGTTATGCGAATTTAACGTTATGTGATGCCAACGTTATGCGAGGGTCCACTGTATATATAATGTCTTTCTACCTCTGTATGTTAGAAGTGATCAAGGTCCCAGGACCGAAACGTTTTCTAATAAACATGTCATAGTGTTTGCTTATGTGTCTTTCTAAACCAACTTGTCGGTATTTATTACCAAGGTTTATACCACCTTGTCTGACACTGCAACACACTATGGACATAGCATACAGAGAATACCTTTCTCTCGTACTCAAAGCTAATAGTCTTCAGAACCGACACATCTTCCTAGAAGACTGTCTTGCTGAGATGGTGGTACCACGGTCCACTCCTCGACAACTGACCACAACTAGACACCCTTTCTCTCCTGCTGTTTATGCCTACCTTAGAGAAAGCTCTGATGAACTGCGACATGCTCAGAAGGAGGCCTCATTACGTGCCGCTCAGATTCGTGCTTCACTTCCTACTCCTGACAGAAGAACTGCAGAATATATACTCAGCCAAATTACCACTGCCAACATCCAACAGAAATTGAAGCTATCACGAAAACTACAAGACCTGTGCTCCCACAGCAAATGGAGCTAAATGGGATGACCAGAAATCATAAATAACTTATCTTCCTATACACTAACCGTCACCGAGACAGAAGCCCTCAGCCTAGGGCTCAAGTTTACTACCGGCATCAACAAGAAACATAATCTGGTGGATATGGTAACCAAGAACCAACCTTTTGGAGGCTCCGATTTTCAAAAAGGCTTTGTTCAAGGAATTATCACTGCTGCAGCTACTGAGCCTTCAAGACCGGTCATTCCCAGAAGATATATCCAAGCACTCAGGGACTTGGCCAACAACGATGATATCGTCATTACAACCGCTGACAAAGGAGGTGGTGTGGTGTTACTCAACACTGTCGACTACAACAATAAAGTTTTAAATCTTCTCAATGATGCCAACACATACCAGCCTGTATCAGAATCAGTGCTACTTCAAAGTACCAAGACTTTTCTTCAAAAAGCTCGTAGCATCTCACAAAAATCAGAACAAGGCAAAAAACTACTTAAACTTTTACCAGGTCAACCGAAACCAGCACGCCTGTATGGCCTTCCTAAGACACACAAACCTGGCATCCCACTATGGCCTATCGCTTCGGGCATAGGGAGTGCACCACACAGACTAGCCGGCCACCTTGCCAAATACCTTTCAGCACTTCTGGGCACCATCAGTCAAGCCCACCTCAAACACTCAGGTGACCTTCTCTCCCGAATTTCCAACCTGAATGTCAAAAACTAAAGCATGTCTTCCTTCGATGTCACAGCCCTCTTCACCAACGTTCGTACTGACGCTGCAATCAACATTCTGAGACAGAGGCTCACTGAAAACCACGACCTCCCTTTACCTCTTCTAGATTTCATCAATCTAGTGGAACTTTGTGTTAATTTCAACTTCTTCAAGTATCAGGACAACTGTTACAAACAGTGCTTTGGGATGGCAATGGGGGCAGCCGCTCAGTGCTGTGCTTGCCAACCTCTTCATGGAAAACCTGGAGACAGAGAAATTCAGCACCCTCATTCCCAACACCTTTACCTGGCTAAGATACGTTGATGATATATTGGTTTTCTATCCGAGACGTCTCAATATCCAGGCCCTTCTCAACAAGATCAATGCAGTTTGAGAATCATCAATAAAGTTTACACTTGAACTCGAAAATGATGGCAAACTTCCTTTCCTCGACGTTCTACTGTGCAGATCTCCCGACAGTGACAAACTTCTCTTCAAAGTGTATAGAAAACCTACCAACAAGGACGATCTTATACACTTTTATTCACACCAAGACACCCGCACTAAGAGAGTCCTCATTGGCTTCTTCTTGAGAGCTCTTCACATCTCCAGCCCTTGTTTTCTACAAGAAGAATGCACTTACATAACACAAGCCTTTACTCGTCTTCAGTTCCCATCTTTCTTCATCCGAGATTGCAGACTCAAGGCACAAGCTATCCTCAACAAACCGCCCATGGAACAGCCCCCTAAGCAGTTCATAGTACTCCCATGTGGTGATGTTGCCACGAATACTCACCGGGCACTTGCTATGAGTAACATCAACGTTTCCACCATAAACACATCATCTATCAAAGACCTCACTACGAAACTCAGCCCCACACCTCTAACTTCTACAGCAGGCGTCTACACTATCCCCTGTAGGTTCTGTCCCAAGAAATATGTAGGCGAGACAGGCAGAGATCTTGCAGTCCGCCTGAATGAGCATCGAAATGCCTCTAACAGAGTCGATGTAAGGTACGCCTGTGTCCTCCACAGAGACTCCACGGGGCATTTGATGAACTGGAATGAGGCACAACTCGTTCTCACCGAAGCAGACCTCAGATGCCAACGGTGCCTAGAAGCCTCACTAATCGCCTTCACCGACACTATAGAACACAACACCGGAAACTACAAAATTTCAAAAACATTGGCATACATGATACTTAAGCACCACCAACCCAACAACACAGGAGTCACATGATTTCATCGTCTACCCGTCCTCACCACAACATGACATTCCTCAGGTCACATGCGTCACTCACACCTCACTCTCTGCCTATATATATATAATGTCTTTCTACCTCTGTATGTTAGAAGTGATCAAGGTCCCAGCACCGAAATGTTTTCTAATAAATATGTCATAGTGTTTGCTTATGTGTCTTTCTAAACCAACAAGCATATATATACACACCCCTCTGGGTTTTCTTCTATTTTCTTTCTAGTTCTTGTTCTTGTTTATTTCCTCTTATCTTCATGGGAAAGTGGAACAGAATTCTTCCTTCATAAGCCATGCGTGTTGTAAGAGGTTACTAAAATGCTGCGAGCAAGGGGCTAGTAACCCCTTCTCCCGTATAAATTACTAAATTTAAAAAGAAAAACTTTCGTTTTTCTTTTTGGGCCACCTTGCCTTGGCGGGATACGGCTGGTTTGTTGAAAGAAAGAAAAAAAAAATCCTACCTGAAATTAAGCTCTCTGTTGCCAGCAGAAATCAAGACAGGGGTGCCTGGCTTGGGAAAATCACAGGTGCACTGCTGGAACTGTAGGTATCCATAGTACTTGAGTGTTCTTGCTAGGTCCAGGTACTGAAATCAGATAATCTATTATAAAATCTATTATATCTACTAAAGCACACTATAACAAAGCAATCTGTGATTTCATATGTACTAAAATACTGCAGTATTAAAAATTATTGAAAAAAGAAGTTTAAGGGAAACACGAAAATCTTACAAGTTACTGACAGACTCTGACTAATATTTTATATTTTAAATAAAAAGAGTGATGCTAAGCAAAATTTGCATGAAGTGAAACCCATTTTGTAAATGACTCCCATGTTACAGAGCTGCAGTCTGGAAAAAACATTCCAGTAAATTTTCTTTTCAGCTGCAACTTTGACATAAATATGAGATAGGCACTAACAGCCTAAAAACAAGATATTAATATATTATTCCGAGTCTGGAAGAGCATCTGAGCTGTAATATCGACATACCTTTGGCAAGACAGTGATGGTGAGTGTTTTTTTTTTTTTTTTCAGGTTACACTACCTCAGAGAGAGACAACTGGTATGAAAATAAAAAAAATACTGATGCCAGAATAGGATAGAGCTCAAGATGCCAGAAACCAGCAAATAATTGCCAATTCTGACGTTCAGAGATTAGGCCAGGTGCAGAGTCTCAACCTTTGCAAACGTAACTTTGTGAGTACAACTCCTGTGAATATACAGCTTCTCAGTTTTACAGTTAGAGAAGCAGTATGAAGGATACAGAGAAATGAGTTATAATGTGCATGAAATAAAGGAAGGTGTCTAAGGAGTGGCAGAGAGCGTGCATAATTCCTTTATATAAAAGAAATGGGGACATCTGCTAAGTACCATATACCTGATAAAGTGTACAGCAGGGCTGCAAAGAAATTAAATATATTCTGGAAGGGAAGAGAATGTGTGTTTGTAAAGGACATAAGTGAACAATACTCAGATAAGGGTTAGGAGCTGTTTGTTGCATTTATGGATTTAGAAGAGGCATATGATAGTGGTAGAAGGGATACCTAATCAACATTACATGACTATATAGTAACTTGCACAAGAGTTAAAGTACTGTGGATGAGAGAATGGGGACTAGAGTGGACACATCATGAATAATGCACAGTCAGACTCTGGAATTCAAATGTTTCATAACCAATGTAATCCCAGAGTACTTCAGTAAAACAATGTTTTTACTGAAGACCATTTAATGAGTGACTCTGATTATTCATGTTTTTTCTTGGTGACCAATGTCTCTTTGCTTGGTGCATAATTCTTAAATTGAAAAATAATCATAGGATTTCATTCCAAATTTGTCATTTTCCCCCTTCTTACTGTTAATATTAAGCAGAAATGAGAAACATTTAAGGATACTGGATGGGGTAAAAAAACACTTAAATACCGGTAATTCAGATGTGCAAAATTTTTTATTATTCGCAGCTCGAGGATGAGTCACCTCCAAAATTATGGGCAAAATCTACTAGTTAACTCCTTTATTTAAATGTTCATTGCACTGTATCTGTAAATTGCATATACAGTACTATATTAGGTGCACAGTGAAGTAGTTCAGTCCATTCTTTTGCTATTTTTTTTTAAATTCTGATTTAACAGACATTGGGAAAATTCCCCTATTAGTTCATTATATCAAGGGTTTACTCTATTAACAAAGTCCAAGTTGGTGGGAGATGGATGTTGAGTTAAAAGAGAATATGAAATGAATTTTTTTAACACACTAGATATCTCCCACCAAGGTACAGTGACTTGAAAAAGAAGAAGAAACACTTTAACCATCATTCATTCAATCACTATCTACAAAGAACTATGCTGACATTACAGCTCATGACACTCTGAACTGCTACATCCCCACCATCTTTCAGAGTGCAGGTACTGTACTTCCCACTTCCAGATTCAAGTTCGGCTAACAGGTTTCCTTGAATCCCCTCATAAATGTTACCTTGCTCACACTCTAACAACATGCCAAACCATAAAACCCACTTGCCTCCACTCACTTCTTAACATACTCACAAAAGCCTGTTGAATGTCCAACTTCATAGTACTCAGAATCTCCCTGCCTCCTCCCTCCAGCCCTTCATGGGATAACCCCTGCCCCTCCTTCCCTCAGAAAACACAATGCAACAGTATTTATTTCTGGAAGACCAAGAAATCTGAATTGCTAAAGCATTTAAAAGACAAGGTTTCTTTAGCAAGCAGAGCCACATATGCTGAACAAAACATTACTGGTATATACTAACTTCTTTTTTGGCTCCCTTAGCTTGAAGTGCTGCTAGCTGTCTCTGAATTTCACGATTCGTTAAGATCCAGCCTCGCTCTACATCCTGCACAGTTTGAGCATATAGGAGATTCAATCCAACACGGTCTCCCATCACCTCAAGATCAATGGAAGAGTCCCAGTAACTGAAATTTTAAAGGATTTTTATTAATGTCATTCCTGTTTTTTTAGTGAAAAGAATGTACAGTATTCCCTTGTCTCATATCTTTCAAGAATCCATTCATTAACAAACTTGCATTTATACTGCAGAAGCTTAGAGAATATTCAATCAAATTCATTAGCCATGCTGTCTATTTTCCCTAATCACCAAATGTAATAAGAAATGTAATAAAACCCAAGCAAATATAATTTATAAAAGGCATGTTATTCAAAGACAAAAAATAGGAATCAAGATGAATACAGAGGATTTAGGATTTTCATAAAGATTGTGTAGACAAAGTTTTTACAATGAAGTATGTAAGTGAACATATTTCCACTGGGGTCTTTGGTATATATCTCATATTTAAAGGCTAGCTGTAAGACAAGCAAAAAACAAAATCATCACACATGTAAATTATTCATTAAAATGACTTGTGAAATCCTATAGTAGGTGAATTTTAGCATTAAAATAGGGTAAAAAAGTGAATAAGATGAGTAGATCTGATACCGCCAAAAAGTCTGGCTAAGTTCTTATTACCATGGGGTGTTGTATACTCATTATTTAACTAGCTGTAGACATAGCAAAAACAAATCATCACACATGTAAATTATTCATTAATGCCCTTTGTGAACCATAGAGTGAATTTTAGCATAAATGGAAAAAAGTGAGATAAGACGAGAAGATCCAGTTGAAGATACGCAGATGTCTGGTGGTAACTTTCCCTTACAATGAAGGTGGTGCCGTTGTCTTCTTTACATCCGGTATCTGTATAGAAAAGTGCATACTTGGTCTCCTGTCCCCCCATCTGCACCCCGTCCACTCAACACAGAGCAATCCCTCAACTCAGGAGCTGACATCCTGCCTCTGTTGCCGACCCTCCCTCAACCCCACCCTCACCAGACCCTCCCCTCACCAGACCCTCCCCTCAACCAGACCCTCCCCTCACCAGACCCCCCCTCAACCAGACCCTCCCCTCTACCAGACCCTCCCCTCAACCAGACCCTCCCCTCAACCAGACCCCCCCTCAACCAGACCCTCCCCTCTAACCAGACCCTCCCCTCAACCAGACCCCCCCTCTACCAGACCCTCCCCTCAACCAGACCCTCCCCCTCTAACCAGACCCTCCCCTCAACCAGACCCTCCCCTCAACCAGACCCCTCCCCTCAACCAGACCCTCCCCTCAACCAGACCCTCCCCTCTACCAGACCCTCCCCTCAACCAGACCCTCCCCTCAACCAGACCCTCCCCTCAACCAGACCCTCCCCTCTACCAGACCCTCCCCTCTACCAGACCCTCCCCTCTACCAGACCCTCCCCTCTACCAGACCCTCCCCTCTACCAGACCCTCCCCTCTACCAGACCCTCCCCTCTAACCAGACCCTCCCCTCTCCAGACCCTCCCCTCAACCAACCCTCCCTTCTACCAACCCTCCCCTCTACCAAGACTCCCCTCTACAACCCTCCCCCCTACTTAACCCTCCCCTCTACCTAACCCTCCCCTCCACCTAACCCTCCCCTCTACCTAACCCTCCCCTCTACCTAACCCTCCCCTTACCTAACCCTCCCCTCTACCTAACCCTCCCCTCTACCTAAACCCTCCCCTCTGCCTATCCACTACCCCTCTACCAACCTTCACCCACTCCATTACCTACACCCTCCCTCTACCTTAACTCACTCCTCCATCTACCCTCCACCCCTGAACTTTAACCCTCCCCTCCACCTCACCCATCAACTCACTCCTCCCCCTTCTACCACACCCTCCCCTCACACTCTACCGTACCTCTTACCTCTTAACTCCACCCCTCTACCTTACTCCTTAAGATAAGATAAGATTTCGTTCGGATTTTTAACCCCGGGGGGTAGCCCCCAGATAACCAAAAGTCAGTGCGTCATCGAGGACGTCTAACTTATTTCCATTGGGGTCCTTAATCTTGTCCCCCAGGATGCGACCCACACCAGTCGACTAACACCCAGGTACCTATTTGCTGCTAGGTGAACAGGACAATAGGTGTAAGGAAACGTGTCGGAATTTCCACCCGCCGGGAATCGAACCCGGGCCCTCCGTGTGTGAAGCGGGAGCTTTAGCCACCAGACCACTACCCTCTTCTTCACCCCTCCCTTCTACCTTACCTCTCCTCTACAACACCCGTCACACTCTACATCACCCCTCGCCTCTTACCTTACCCCTCTCATCTCTGACCTCAAGATTATAAGGTTTATTAAGGTACAGATACACTTTAGTACAGTTATCATACGTACATAGCTTCACATATGTGTAAATTACCCACCAGGAAAACCCAAAAAGGTCAGAAAAGTGTTTGTCAGAGCCAAGACCAGCTGGTTGTTTCCTCTAGTTAGTTACTGACTCACAATCTGTCTTAGAAAACAGTCCTGGACCATTTCAGAAAAATATCACTAGGCTCTGGATGCCCTATCAAATTGCTCTAATTGATTTATTTGTAGTCAAAATCTCCCGTTAAAACTATATTTTCGTTTCTAGATGCCTTAGTAATTTCGTCTCAAAGAGGTTTACGTTGACCACGGGAAATACCAGGATTTTGGGGGGTTATCCTAGGTAATTTACACATGTTACTATGTGTGATAATTTGTGTAACTGTATTTATGTGTATCTGTACCTAAATAAATTTACTTACCAGCTCTTCCTCATGCCCTGCTGCGTCAGTGTGTAATAATTTATACATCTGTGTGTGGTATTCACCTGGCATGTCCTATTTATCAGACTGAACCAGGTTGCAGTTATTGCATGTTTCTTGCACATGCAATTAGCCTTAGTTTATCTATTTTATTGATTGCACTTTGCAATGGAAAACTTGAAGAAATAAAAACTGGATCGGAATATGAAAAAGATTTCAACCACACAATAGTTAAAAACAAATGTGAAAGACCTAGGAGTAATAATGTCAATTAATCTCACTTTTAAAAGTCACAACAATGTCTCTACCATATCTGCTAGGAAAATGATAGGATGGATAATGAGAAGCTTCAGAACTAGGGATGCCAAACCAGTGATGATTCTCTTCAAATCGCTTGTTCTCTCTAGGCTGGAGTATTGCTGTATTCTAATGGCCTTTTTCAAGGCAGGTGAAATTGCAGTCCTGGAGAATATACAGAGAATTTTCACTGCACATATAAGGACAATTAAGCACCTAAATTACTGGAAACGGTTGAAGCCCCTTGACCTGTACTTCTTGGTATGCAGGCGAAAAAGTTACAATATACACTTGGAAAATCCTGTGAAGATGTCCCATGGCCTGGTAGGCAATACTTTTGCCTCATACTTTTCCCAGCATACATAAGGGGAATTTCCAATAGACCCCCTGGCTGTCTTCAAGCAGGCACTGGACAGGCACCTAAAGTCGGTACCTGACCAGCCGGGCTGTGGCTCGTACGTTGGATTGCGTGCAGCCAGCAGTAACAGCCTGGTTGATCAGGCCCTGTTCCACCATGAAGTCTAGTCACAGACCGGGCCGCGGGGGCGTTGACCCCTGAAACTCTCTCTCCGGGTAAACATAGTTTGATCTGGAGTTTACCTGGAGAGAGTTCCGGGGGTCAACGCCCCCGCGGCCCGGTCTGTGACCAGGCCTCCTGGTGGATCAGAGCCTGATCAACCAGGCTGTTGCTGCTGGCTGCACGCAAACCAACGTACGAGCCACAGCCCGGCTGATCCGGAATTGACTTTAGGTGCTTGTCCAGTGCCAGCTTGAAGACTGCCAGGGGTCTGTTGGTAATCCCCCTTATGTGTGCTGGGAGGCAGTTGAACAGTCTCGGGCCCCTGACACTTATTGTATGGTCTCTTAACGTGCTAGTGACACCCCTGCTTTTCATTGGGGGGATGGTGCATCGTCTGCCAAGTCTTTTGCTTTCGTAGTGAGTGATTTTCGTGTGCAAGTTCGGTACTAGTCCCTCTAGGATTTTCCAGGTGTATATAATCATGTATCTCTCCCTCCTGCGTTCCAGGGAATACAGGTTTAGGAACCTCAAGCGCTCCCAATAATTGAGGTGTTTTATCTCCGTTATGCGCGCCGTGAAAGTTCTCTGTACATTTTCTAGGTCGGCAATTTCACCTGCCTTGAAAGGTGCTGTTAGTGGACTGGTGTGGGCCACACGACTTGTTTATTTATTTATTTATTTATTTATTTATTTATTTTATGTCTTTGCAAACAGTACACTGAGATTTTGTATTTACAATAGTGGGTTGCAATGGAAAGAAAGCCTCTATTATGCCTAGGCATTATGGGCCAACTTAACATTATTGGCTTACAGTCTACTTAACACTAAGGAGTATATCATAGTTATACAGTAGGATAGTAATTATTTCATAGTTGTACAGTAGATTATTAATTATAAGTGAATCAAAATTTGTATAAGACAAAAGATATACATATTCATATATTCGAAAATGCTTTTTGTGAAAACAATGATTCAATTATATTCCTGTCAACAATGGATAAAAGGTTCAAAGTGATTGTTGAAGTTATGATGTGGGAGTACATAGGTGAGTAAGTGTGTACTGAGTATTTAGTGTTTAGTCTTGGGTGATTAAGTGGCTTTTGAGAAGAGTCTTAAATTGATTTTCAGACTGGGTTACTTTAATATCTTCTGGTAATGAAGTCCATATTTTGGGGCCCTTTATGTACATAGAGTTTTTACACAGTGTGATATGGACACGTGGTATATCAAAAAGAGATCTGTGTCTTGTGTTGTGTTCATGTGTCCTGTTTAGGTTAGTGAGAAGTTTGAGTGGAGGGTTTATATTTGCGTGTATTGCTCTGAGTATGTAGTAGGCACATGAATAAGAATGGATGTTCTTAATGGTGATTATTATTATTATTATAATCAAGGGGGAAGCGCTAAACCCGGAGGATTATACAGCGCCTGGGGGGGGGATGTGGAAGGCATTCAGGCTTAATTCGGGGAACTGGAGCACAGATCCAATTCCCTAAATCAAGAGCCCCTCACCAACATCAAGGAACCTTCCTTGAGGGGTCTTAATGGTGAGCAGATTCAGACTTTTGAAAATTGGTGCAGTATGCTGGCGGGAGTGGGAATTTGTTATCATTCTTACTGCTGCCTTACTAACTGTTGATTGGCTCTGACATGGGACTCGTGCTAAAATAAATTGTTTTGTTAATATCTAACAAAACAATATTTAGCAAAAGTTAACAATTGTTGCTTAGTTATGATTATTATAATCATAACTTAACGCTAAACCCATAAGAGTCATACAGCACTGATACCAAGGTATATATAACATGTTTCTGTCTTCCCCGTGGCCTGGTGGCTAAAGCTCTTGTTTCACACGGTGAGGGACCGGGTTCGATTCCCGGCGAGAGTAGAAATATTGGACGTGTTTCTTTGCACCGGTTGTCCATGTTCCTCATCAGTAAAATGGGTACCTGGGTGTTAGTGGACTGGTGTGGGTCGCATCCTGGGACAAAACTGACCTAATTTGCCCAAAATGCTCAGCATAGCCAGCGGCTTTCTATATAGTAATATGTTACTGATGTCAGCAATAGGACTGTATACCTTGTACATTTACTTGTGTAGTAAAAACTATTACTATTATTATTATTATTATAATTAATAATATTATTATTATTATTACCAAATAAAAAAATAAGGCGTGAGTTTAGACCAGGACCTAACACAGTACAAAACGCTCGACTTTGATATGCAATTGAGGAGAGGATGTTGAGCTAAAGGGATAACGGGGGATACTTTTCTAGGATCACATCAGGCGAACGATTTTTTTTTATATACCTATAAAAAATTCCGGACTATTGAGT